GGGGTGGGGTGGGCGGGGGTGGGTGGGGCGGGGCGGGGCGGGGTGGAGCGCGGCGGACGTGCGGCGACGGGCGGGCGAGAGGCGCCAGGCGGCGAGGCGGCTGTGGACGTGCCTGCATCACCGCCTCCAAGATATTGAAAGGCAGCCCAATGTGTCCAAAGTTGGCGGGGAGGTTGCCGGCGCGGCGGTGCTCGACGAAGCGCTCGAGCGTCATCTCCACCGTCTTGAGCTTGGCGAGCTCAAAGATTCCCAGCGGCCGCCACCAGCCTGCGTGGAAAAGAAATGCCGACCGCGTGAAAAGAAACGCCGACCTCCGGGCGGGGACGACGGTGTACTCAGAGCGCCGCGCGAGTACGCGGGGTGCGAATACAGTGAAAACAGCTGAATACGTTCGAACACAGTTATAGCGTGTCCTCTTGAGCGCTAGTTGGAATACCACGTGAGAATGTGTTCGCTTCTAGGGCCACCAGCCCTCTGTCGCGTGCACCGTCCCGCGCGCCCGCGCGTACACCGCCGCGGCGAGCTCCGGATCTGCGGCAAGCGCGCGGGTGACGAGGTCGAGGAGGAGGCAGTGGTGCACCAACTGATACGCGGACTCGTCGTCCAGCTCCGACGGCACCGCGCTGCTGCTCAGTCGCTCAGCTAGGATGCACAGCAGCGGGTTTGCGGCAGCGCTGGCGCCGACGGCTCCGACAAAGGCGCGCAAGTCGACGGCGGCGCCGACGTCCGCCGGGCAGGGAGTGGTACCCGGCGCAACGGAGGGCAGCTCGCGCAGCAGCGGCTCGTGACTGTCGAGTCGGAGCTCGCCCAACAGCGAAAAGAGCAGCTCGCCGTCGGCGGCGTGGATGGGCGCTCCGGCGGGCCGGACTCGCACGGAGTGCCGCTCGACGGCCGCGACGAGCTGCGAGCTCATGCGGTGCAGTGCGGCGGCGGAGGAGGCGGCGACGACCATGGCTGCGAGGAACACAGCACGTCGGGGAAGCGCGATGGCCGATGCGCCGCTGTTTTCATCAGATGCCTGCGGAGTGTTTCTTTTTAGTGATGCACCGCGCTTGAAGATGCACACCGCGCTTGAAAATGCCTTTCTTGGAGTCGTTTCTTTGCGCGTGGGCGCGGGAGGATCCATGCGCGACGGTGCGCACGCTAAAAGCTCGGTCCAACGCACGTGACAGGGTTAGGAAGGGGCAAGGGCAAGCACCGAAAACGGAGTCGTTTGTTTGCGCTTGGGGGCGGGAGGATCCATGCGCGACGGTGCGCACGCTAAAGTCCGGTCCGACGCAGCACGCGTGACAGGGTTAGGAAAGGGCAATTTGTTTGCGCTTGGGGGCGGGAGGATCCATGCGCGACGGTGCGCACGCTAAAGTCCGGTCCGACGCAGCACGCGTGACAGGGTTAGGAAAGGGCAAGCACCGAAAACGCGAAAAATCATGGAGGGGTTGGATGCTAACCCCTACACCACGAAGTCTGATGCATACCGCGACACCACTCATGACTTCGCCGGGATTCGAACCCGGGACCCAACCTCACCTCGACGCGGAGTTTTCCATAGGGAGCCGCGATGTAACTGATGCCGCGCTGCACTTGCTCATATACCTCAAAAGTCGGAATTTTTGTGTTGGGGGGGTTGCTTCGATCATCTCGAGCGGCGGTGCTCTGCCGCCTCCGCCGTAGCCGAGCGATCGGCCAGCGCCTCTGCCGCCAGCGCCGTCGCCGTCGGCTCTACCATCGAGGACTCAAGTCTCGCCTTCGTCTTCGAGCGTGATGCCTCGCCTCGCACGGCCGGCGCTCGTCTCGCCAGTGCTCAAGACTCCTGCGCCAACCTCGACTCCGAGCGGACGTGCTCTGCCGCCTCCGCCGTAGCCGAGCGATCGGCCAGCGCCTCTGCCGCCAGAGCTGTCGCCGTCGGCTGTACCGTCGAGCAAGGCGTCGCCACCGTCAAGTGCGCTGCCTCGCCTCGCACGGCCGGCGCTCTTCTGGCCAGCGCGCGAGATGCCTGCGCCGCCCTCGACTACGACTGGGCGCGCCCTGCCGCCGCCTCCACCGTAGCCGAGCTCTCCGCCAGCGCCTCCGCCACCAGCGCCGTCGCCGCCGCCGTCACCGTCGAGTACTCGAGTCTCGCTTCCGTCATCGAGAGTGACAACTCACATCGCACAGCCAGTGCCTCACGCTTCAGCTTTCATAGCTTTACCTCCGGCTTCGCGCCGCGCCTCGCCTCCGTCAAGGGCGACCTCGGCCTGCGCCCTCGCGCCCGCGCC